ACAAGGTTCGGTGCTGGGTCCATTGCCGTACAATATCACTTAGGCCCGCACTCCCTGAAGGAACCAAGATCATAGCCTTCACAGTCGACATTGCCTCCGTCGTCGTCGCACAATTTATAGAATGTACCTGCAATGAAGACAATGCCATTGTCAGTCGTTGGCTCGATTCCGCAGGATTGCAGCGAACGCAAGACAGAAGTGACCCTTGTAACTAGCAGGAAGAGAGAATCTATCACTCTTAAAGTCGGTCATCTCAAAATTTCATCGCAACCTGCAAGAAAAGACCTCGGCATCAAGATATCATGATCGACACGCGCTTGTCCCTCGGAGAACAACTGGACCACGCCAGCAAAAAAGCAACGGTGGTGGTAAATGCTGCGTTGACTAAATCAATGCCGACTAGTCATTGAAAAGAGAAAGCCGATTGCTTTGGTCGTTACATCGGTTCCGCTCCGCGGATCACCAGTTTGGGCCACTTCTACAGACACAAAGAGCTACATAGGAGGAATGGCATCAATACATCGGCTGTCTGCGATCAGGGTTGCATTTCCGTTCCGCACCGTCTCAAATGAAACTGTCACAGCCAGGATGACCCCTATAGATTTATTGGCCAGTGAACGGCAGACGCGTAATGAAAAAAAGACGGGATGCAAAACTGCTTGGAACAACTAGCAGAATGGCAGCAGTGATGGGACATTTCCTCCAAGGGAAGATGGACCCACCGAGTACACTGATTCCTACAGATGAATCGTGGATAAGACGAATGCACGGCGAGGAAAATTATTATATCACGATGCTTCTGACGGGACATGGGTGCTTCAGAGCCTACCCTCCCAGTATCAAACTGGTTCATACTTCGTACTGTCTTGCGCGCGAACCTGTGGCCGACGACGCTGCATATGTTCTTCAGTGCCCGCAGACAAGTCGCCGTTGAGATGTTTGGGTAGGCCAGATGAATCCAGACCATCAAATTGCAAATATGCTTGCTACTGAAAGCAGTTGAACGGCGGGGTGTAAATTTGCACAAGAAGTATTGCTGGAATTGTAGCGCCTGGAGTACCATGATCTCTCTGGACCAGGATATATTAAATACGTTATATGACTGGGTCACTATTCCATTCTCCGTGATGTAATGATTATAGGCGGTTCCACGGAGAAGATGGAGAAGGAAAATTCGGTTTCAGTGAGTAAAAATTTCGCATGCTGTGAACCACGAACTACTCAGTGTCAAAAAATTTGCATCTACGCTCGTAAAAAAAAGACATACATACACACACAAAACACAGCCTTACTTTGAATTGTGGTTTATATAATATGTATTGTATTAAGTGTTACGGACAACCCTTGTTAGAATAATATAATTCTAACTGTAATACAGTTTGTATAAATGTGTATGGATAAGTGTATGTATAAAAATTATTCCTTCATTTCTGATATAAGCCCTGCAATGTAACCATGCAAAAGGATACTCTTTACGAGGGAGTAATATTGAACGAGATAGAATGATGAGCAATATAATCCATTCACATGTATGCAGCGGCGTAATTTCCATAAGGACTAATAGTACCATCTCGGTACCCCCGAGGACCTAGGAACCCCTGAATAAAAGTAAATTTCAGTGTTAACAAAGGAATTCTTGCCTACAAAAAATGTGATCAAATAAACAAATAATTTGCTGAGAGTTACTTTAACAAGTTAAAGTAGTACATGCCTAGTTACTATTGCTTAATGCAACCTCTTGCGGCAATCGCTGGCAATAATTACCATGAAGGATGTGCCTTTCATGAGCCTACGTCGAGTGTTTAAAATGAGTGAGAATGGAGGAAAAGTTAATATTAAATTAAAAGGAATAGTCGCTGTGTTCCATGTTATATAAAATTGCATTGCAATAAAACTCTAGAAATAGCATTTTACAATTAAAAAATTATGAAGTACGATGGCACGAGGCAATCTGAGTAATTTATGAATTTTATCCATCGTGCAAAACCACTCATGTGGTTGAAAAATAATATTTCTACTCTCAGTGAAAAATGTGTAAACACGAATGCTGAGGCTGCGAAATATTGCTTGGATAATTGGGAGAGCATTTGCAGAAACTGCGACGAGAGGTTCTGTGCATCGCCTTACCGTGTTCTCTGTGTCAGACGAGGTTCTAAAAAGGTGACACATAATTGACAAGATTAACCTTTGCCGCATGAATAATTAAGTATTAAAGAAATTGTCACGGCCATCTTTGTCTGAACGAAAATAAACATTCCCTTTGCGAATTCTATTCAATTATGCTTTCTTGCCGCGTTTTAGAGCGCGGGTCTCGGAGACTACATATTAATGCTTGCTAAAGTACCGCCAACTTTCAATGTGCCCAATACGCGTATTACTTAGCTTCTCTACACGATTGCTACGAAAATGTTCGCGGCTCCAGATTCTCAAATAATGCGATCTCGTCGCGTCTCATGTTGAACAAATTGGATTCCGGGAAATTTTTATAATTTGTAAACTTTTCGTCGCCGGCAGGCCAGGAGATGGTGCGATTTCCCGGGTACTTTTGGAAGCAGTTGAAGGTCTATACCAAAGAGCTTCATATAGATTGAATTTTGGTTACTTGTGAGAGAATTCGCGTTTTTTGGGAGAGGCAAAATTAAACTACCTCGAAGACGGGAAGTTTGACATGTATAATCTTTCCTTCGTAACTACCTTCAAAGAGTAGCAAAACTGAATAAGCTCCAAGTGTGGCGTCAAATTAGAATTAATTTGGCCGCCTATGCAAACGAACCAAATGCCCAAATTAAAATTTTAAAATATATCATGAAATTGCAAAAACAATAATTGATCTTCTTTTTTTTTTATTGGTCACCCGCATTGCTTCTAAATAGTTCACGAAATCGAAAGGCAAAGTATATTCATGGGGCAAGTAACATGACAGAGAAATTGTCTATAATATTTTTAATTTACAAAAATTGATTGATATATATTGATATACATTTGATTTTATAATTGGGACTATATATTTTTCTCACCAGAAATGGATAGATCATGAAGAAAAATACAATTATGTATCATATGTTAGTTTTGATAGTTGTGTGAATATAAAATTGGACTTTCAGTTGTGTGATATTGAATTAATTGGAAAATATTTCCTGAAGCAGCCCTTGCAACTCTCGCCTTTGGGGAAGGTGGCCTTCACAGCCTCAAGACTTGTGTCGAGAGGCCAAGAGGGGTGGCAGTGAGGGTTAAGATGCATAACTACAGCAATTCATGGTCTAGACACAGAGGTCACAGTAAGAAACACCAATGTCGAGGCCAAACAATGAAACAATTAAAAGATTAAATAATTAAATGGATAAATGAATGAATGAATAAACAAATATAAAATTCATACAATTCTAATTCCTTTGGAATAAAAACATTATTCTAATACTCTTGTTTCTCCAGTTTTTATTGCAGGTTTATAGAAAATGATATGGAAAGCAAGATATTTTGAAAATAGTCCAATGTATAGTTACTTAAGCTTTTAGCCTTAGCAATGCTTTCAATATAATTAAAATTATGTAAAAACTGTATGGATTTTCCTATATCTTTAATAAATTATAATTAACAAAATTCAAAAGATCTCTATCTTAAAAAAATCATATAAAATGTAATCATGCAATTATTAATTATGTAAAATTGTGTATATGCCTTATACAACTTTTTTAATAAATTACAAATTACAAAATTTCAAAAGGTCTCTTTCATAACACTCAAAAGATAAAAATTAAATTAAAAAATTAAAATATATTAACTTTTGACAAAATTTCACAAAAAGTCCATTTAAATCATTAATAATATAACTTTTTTGAAAAGGCATTCCAATTGAAAAATGTATTCAAAATATTTTTAACGACAAGTAATTTCATACTGTGAGTTCATTTTAACTTGACAAGTTACGTCTTGGAAAAACACCCATCGCACCAACAACGGACACAGATGGAAATCCTTTAATTTGAAAGGGTATATCAACCAGTGTTAAAATCAATAATTCGATTAACTTTTCATTGGAGACATTTTTTTTTTCATACAATTGCTTTTTTTGAGATATTTTGTAATGTGAAAATAACCATTTCTTGCAGTTTTTCCACAAAATTCAATGTGGAGATAACATTAAACATTATCATGATAAAAAACATCTTGACAAAATGACAAGAAAGACTGTTACTCACAGTAACAAATACAGAGAATAATCAAGAGGTTTTACATGTAAATGGTTTTAATAAATAAAATTATATTTTTATAAATAAAGAGTCCACAAAATAAATAATAATGGATAAAAGACAAATCTGTCCATTCTGTATCAATTAGTTCCATAAATCTTAGAATTATTCTTTCAATATTTTCATACATATTCTGAACTATTTTATAAACTAAGAAATATATCGAAAATAAAAAATTTAACTAATTTTTGTTTTTACATTCCAGTGAAAAGTGAACCTTACACTTTTAGATTTTAAATTAAATCAAAGTCCAATACACGCTTTCACCTTAGGCTCAGTACGTATACCTCACACAAGATAAAACATTTTTTAATTTATATGCCCTATTGCTAAAATACATTATTATTAATAAATTTCATTTTTTTTTTTTGAAACTTTGGAAAAAATGAGTAATTATTTAATTTAAGAGATAAAATTTAATAGAAATGTCTGCATTTGAATTTAAAGTTTATAATTTATACAACAAAATGTTTGCAATAATACAATTGCTTATTCCCTCGAAGTTTTCTAACCCCACATCAATCAATAAATTGAGCTCTGAAAACATTTGCTTATCCCTAGCTCATTATTACCATGTTTTCAGTCATATCATTGTTGCAAAGAAGGAGCATTATCATCTGTAGTGGTGAACTCTAGAACCATAGTTTTCCATAGTCAACATTTTACATTCTTCCATAATAAGATCATCAGATTCCAATATCATCTCCAGCTTAATGGCTGTTTTAATATTCTAAACGAGTGAAGTAAAATTTAAATATTTCATTTTCAGTAATGTTCCATGTTTTTTATTACATAATGAAGTAAATAAGTTGACTTTTTTCAATGAAATTGGAATAAGTACATAAGAGGATTAATCAGGTTTTAAATTTAAAAAATAAGCAACAAACAAACTTTGTAAGAAGTTTACTCTCACAATACATTCTGAAACACTATACACACACACACACAAATGTCTGCAATATTTTACAGGAGACCACTACTAATTGCACAAGTTAAAAGAAAAGGAGATAGTTCACAAACCAGTCATTTTTGTGTAAATAAACACTTGTACTTTCAAATTCTCAACAACCATTAAAAAAAAAGAAAGAAATATGTATGTCTAGTACATGCAATCACTCACTTAGGAAATAAACATGTCAGTAATCAATGCTCCCAGCATTTCAACAATGAACAAACACCAATCCATTGCAAGAACAGTGAAAATTAATATTCCACTAATTATATGAATCTGACAATCACAACATAATGTACATGCTACATATAGATATTATTATTATTACTATTTAACCAATATTCTATTGGAACTCAAGCACATCCATGCACTTAATCTGATCAACATGTCTTCTGAAAACATTCAATTTCCTTTGCAGACACAATTTCAATATTAATAATCTCAAATGCCATTTTTATTAGCACACACCTCGCTCATTTTTTACGATGACAAATACTGACATGTTCAATAACTGACTAGACTGGTATAATCCATAGTTACCTTTGTTTTTTAAGTTCTAAGCACATAAATACTGGATTTCAAGAACCTACTTGAAATCTTTCAACAACTGAAGTGAAAATTAATTTTACATTATTCCAATTGCCTGTATTGCAAAAGAGAGAACATCATGTAACTGAACAACTCAATTCACAACAATGTCTCATGCACACAGTTTGTCTCATTACATTATGCCAACAATCAGCAAGATAAAAATTATGTGTTTTACAGTTGAATTTCTTAGATGTAGACGATATCTCAAGATTAAGTCCATTAATTCAAAATAAAAGCCAAAATATGACCTTAAACAGTATATTGCTAATTTTAACACATCATATGATGAAATTATAATTTGAAGTTTGTTTTCATTGCATTGCCTACCCTACTCAAAATCTCAACTATTGCACAAATTTTACTGAAGAGATGAAGTTAATTTATTAATTGGCATAAAATATATATTTAATATTCAATATGAACACCAAAACACTTTGCCTAAATATTTTAACCATTCCAAACAAACACAAAATCATTCTTTTTCTTTATTTTAACTGAAATATTTAAGTGTGAATTTTTAAATCCATTATACACAATGAATATTTGTGTACCTCTTACCCAATTTTTTTAAAGTTGTAGATAAAGTGAAACAGTACATTCTATGCAATAAAATCAATTACAGTCATCACTAATAATTAATTATCGTTAATAGTAAATATTAACCACCACACAATGGTTGGCAATGTGCATGTCTTCCGAAAAAACGAACAAAGCAATGCAAATGTCTCGAGAATTGCAAATGATACCGACATCACAACAGAATAATTAAATCAATACATTTTTGAATCTATCAATCAATATTGTATACTTACTGCATTCATATAATTGATACAAATCAATATAGCTTTGGTCCATACAATAGTTACTATAAATCCTCGCATCTTATCTGAGTCAAAGATTTCAAATCACGGACAACAAATGCATCATCTAATCAATGAATATGTTCAATGAATATATCAATGAATTTAGTGAAAATCAACAAATATTAAAATAACAAATACACTGCAAATAAGATAAGTATTTTTCAAAAGCATTTCTCTACACAAGTTTGAGATCAAGAGCATAGATCAATGAAACTAAACAGGTAAGTGGAATTTTGAAGAAAGTACATTGCAGGCACAGGATTTTGGGTGGGACAAATGTGACTCCTCATATCAGCATTTTTTCCACAAACAATTCATTCATCAAGAGAGCAGGGAAGACATAAATAATTTCGTTTATCACTGAACGGAAAAAAAAGGACTTTTGCACCACAGGAGAAAACGTCATATGTTTATCGCTCTTCCTTAAGCCATGCACACATCCTCAAGTAAAAAAACTTCATTCTTTGTTTGAGAACAGAATTATCAGAATAAATGACAAAAAACCAAATTCATTTTGCTTATGCAATGAGACTGCAAAACCACTTCAAAAAATTCCAATGAAACATCTACTTGTCACACAACACTCAATACCACTGGCCAAATTAACCTTTACTACCTAATAATAAAATACTGATATTCTCTTATCAGGCCACAGTTACATCACACACAAAGAGCGATCATCTTAACCTATCATAGACATTACAACATATGAAACAAACATTCATATATTAATAGTATGAAATCAATATTAGTAGGTAAACAGGAATGAATAAATTATTAGTAAAATACTGATATAAGTATATTTGTGAGTTAAAATATAATAATTTAATAAAAACTAACAACAAAAACTTGAAGTATTATATACTTCCTACTTAATCAATCAATTCTACACCTAAGTTCAGAAACTTCTGAAAAAAAACTAGCCACTCACAGAATGCAATTAACGTGTGATATAATTTTATAAAAATAAAAAATTAATTATAAAAATCATAAATAGCAATGTGTATGCATGTGCAATGGCACTCATCATACTTATTAAGAAACTCAAATTTTCATTTGCCAGCCCAATCTTTGAATCTATTTCTTAATAGCTACAATAATGAGTTGCACACCATAATATCAGATACACTCCATTAGCTCTGACAGATCGAGTTCTTTCAAAATCAGTGCAGAAGTTATTTTTGTATTCATTTTCAGAATGTACATGTGAATTGTATAAACTACATAACATTGTTCATTAACAAGAAAATTGTTCTCCTGAGCTCATAAGCAATAAAGAGTGGAAAGTAAATTCCATGATTCAATTCAACTATGTGGATCTAGATAACTGCATATGTAATACAAATTATATTTTCAAACAAGAGACATCAATACAGTTTTCTCTAAGTTTGTCAAACAGGAAACCGTTCCATCATTACTGCATCATGAGTAAACATTTTTGTGTTCTCAGTACTAAATTTGCTAACTAAGAGGTGAAAGAGAATGTGCGTTAAAAATATTCCATTCTGCATAATGTATGCTCGCAAAAGTAATAAAGTAGAGAATGTTTAGCCTCCTCTCTTATATATACATACTAGTACACAATTTTGGATAATAGCAAGCACTAAACATATAATCTACTGAAAGAGATATCCTAGGCAAGCAAGAAAGATTCTGTTAAGTTCACTAACCAAATGGACTTGTATTTTTAAATTTTGTCCAATCTTTGATATTTCAAGTGAATACTTGAACATGTTTTTCACAAGTAGGTAGTAAAATCACTATTTTAATACATGTGTATCAATAGTAGAAGAAATTTCAATCTCTATGTACATTCTGATTCCACACAAAAAGAAACTTCTCTTGTATTAACATTTTCCTACAAACAACGATATGCCCCTTCCTTCTAGTTAGAATGATCAAATCCCTTAACATATTCAAACAAACTGTATCCTTAAATTGTTTATCATAATCCATTTTTTACATGCTGATACATACAATTCAAACAGCACAATTATATCCTAGGAACACAATACAAATTACATTATCAAGCAGTCACACCTAACTCACACATTTTATTGAAAAGCTGATGAGTATTCAACCACAATGTTTCATTTTTATTCCAAAGGCCAATGGATATGCTATTCTACTAATTCATGGAAAAATGTCGAATAGCATAATGGTATATAATACAGAAATGTACACCCTACATAAGCTTTACAAAGTTAATTAACCTGCAGTTTCCAAACGTGACTTGTGACTGATATCACTAAAAATAGTTTTTGGTGAAAATAACTCCAAGTTCATTGCATATTTTAATTTGAAATGTACATCACAACATCAACAGAAAGAGTTAACATAAATTGTGTGAACACAATAAAACCATTAAAAGCATAATGCAACTTCTTTCACAGCTAAAGACAAAATATGAAAAATTAATATCATCAACGTTAAAAACAATAAAAATGGATAAAATAATCACTTATTTTATCACCGCCTCCCTTCTCAGAGCATTGACACAGATCTCATTTGAATTATCTCTTCCACTAGAGCAGAGAAATCACATGCCATTGTGGATGAATATAGAAATAAGTGATAGGTATCACTACAAATAATCACACACTGAAAAGCTGTGAAAGAAAACAACAACAACAACAACAACAGGAATACTGGCAGAACCTACATCATTTCTGAATGACATTTTTGTCTCGTGAACTCCACAATATAACTTATCCTATACACAGATTGTACAATTTTGGCCATGTGGACCTTGTGTCTATATACGCAGAATATTACTATTTACCATATACTTAAATCTAACAGGATCAAAAACTGAAACATTTTCTCCTAGTATCAAGAAAATTCTTCCAAGTTCATTGAATGAAAAACTTATTAAGTAAATCAAATACATGTACAATCACAGCTACACACAGAAGTAAAACTGGGTGTGTCCTATTTAAACAAATGTATTCACCTGTCAGGTGACACCCACGTGATGTGTATAATAATTCATTGTCATGGCATTTATACAAACGCTTCTCGTTCATCTATATTCATCTCCACATTCGCAAATGATATCTGTATTCCATAATCCAGCCTGAAAAACAAAGTTCATATTCAGTTCAACCTTCAAACTAAATTAAAGAAATCAATTCAACTTCATAGAACATAGTTTTTGATAATAAAACTAATTTTTCAATTGCTTCAATTATTTCATTTTCAAACAAGCTACAACAAATGTTCACCACAGAATTCCTAAGTAGCGTATTCGATTTCTTTGCTCATGAACTGTAATGTCACCGATGCGAGTTGTACGTAATCTAAGGTTCTAGTGAGGTTTCGCGGCGCCATTTGCGCCATTCAGCAGATTTCGCGATAAATAAAGGCAGAGATTTTATTCCAAAGAACAGCCCAAATCCGAAGTTTGCAAGCCGAGTTTACTTAACAAAAAGAAGCAGCTTCAATTCCATCAGTAACATATCTAACAGCTTCAGTTGTTCATCTGAAGTGGTTTTGACCATATTTTTCCGTCTTTGGGGGGGGGGGCTTTTTCACACATTTTAAGAGCATTTTCACAAATTCACCATCTAGCACAAGACCATTGAAAGTCATATTAAAAAATCGTACCTTGGTGTTAGACATTCTCAAACACAAGAAAAGCAATAAAAGTTCTATTAAAATCTCAGCCGACCGGACACCAAAGCAACGTGAACATTTGAAAAGCTTATT